AGGTAAACATAGCTATATAAGCTTATATAACTTACTCTTTGGGCTCAATCTCTAAATATCCTTGGTCTGGCATCCCCAACTGCTTTTAGGACTCTTAAGACAAAGGCTTAATTCTATGCATTCATTAATCCATTACTTAAAAAAAAAGTTTACTGAATATCTCCTGAACGAGTGGGTGTGATAAAGCCATGAGCATGCAGAGGGCAAGGATTAGGTTTTGGTCCCTTCGCATAGCAAGTGAGAAAGATGGATGGCATACAGTAGGCATTCAATATGGATTCCTGGAACAGCACTGGTAGGCACAGAGGCTGGCTGCCACATGCAGTGGTGCGCATTCACTGCGTTTACTGGGATCACAGTTTAGTCTGAGATCCCAGCCACTAAACTGGCAGTCACCCCCCCCAATGCAATGAGTGTTAGCAAAATCCTTTCTTGATATTTGTTTTCCTTAATAGGTCCCTATTGTATTCCTTTCTTTCTTTTCTTTTCAATTTCTCCCCTTGACCCATTTTATTTACACCATGCGTTTCTTCTGGTTCCACTTCACACCTGGGTTTTACGAACTGAGCACACACTTGAAACTCAAAATCATTTTTTGGCTCTCCTGAGCCACACCAAATGAGAGTATCAGGCTAATCCAAAGAAGGGTGTGTTTACTCAGCACATACTTTTAAGCATCTACTGTGTGTAGGACACTATACTGGACAACGAGGGTTCACTCTACGTTCCTTGAGACATGAACAATGATGAAATAAACAAATATAATCACTACTGTAATACGTGTTATTGGAAAGAAACAAGCTGAGGCAGGGTGACATGTGTAATAAGCCAGTTAGCAAAAACGCCTCTAAGGACTTGACTTAACCGGACACATAAAGAAGACAAAGGATTTAGCTTTGTGAAGAGTGGAATTCTAGAACATTCCAGGCCCAGAGATTGGACATGTCAAGGCCTGAGGTAATCACAAGCTTGGTGTGGACTGAAAACCAAGGACTGATGTGGCTGGGACATAAATTGTGGGCAGCTGGGCAACGGGGAGGACATGATGCCAGCAGGGTGATGAAGAGTCAGATTCAGGGGCGCCAGGGCGGCTCAGTCAGTTGAGTGTCCGACTTCGGCTCAGGTCATGATCTCGCGGTTTGTGGGTTTGAGGCCCACTTCGGGTTCTGTGATGAAAGCTCAGAGACTAGAGCCTGCTGCAGATTCTGTGTGTCCCTTTCTCTCCACACTTCCCCCACTCATGCTGTATCTCTGACTCTCTCAAAAATAAACATTAAAAAAAATTTTTTTTCAAAGAGTCAGATTCATGAATGAACGCAAAGGTCACAGGTGAGGGCTTCTTCACCACAGGTGGGACCAAGGGGGATGTGGAGTATGAAGACAAAGGAACTCTGCCATATTGGTTACCATCTGGGCCTGTTGGGTTGCTAGTTCGAGGTTACCCCTGCTCCGTGGTACTATTTTATGTCTGACTCTTGACTCTAAGCTGTGTTGCCATGGGCAAGATCCTTGAAGCTAAGGATAATAATGCCTACCTCACAGGCGAGGGCCTTAGAACGGTGCTATTTGGGGCGCCTGGGTGGCTTAGTCGGTTAAGCGTCCGACTTTCGCTTAGGTCATGATCTCGCGGTTCGTGGGTGCAAGCCCCGCGTCGGGCTCTGTGCTGACTGCCAGCTCAGAGCCTGGAGCCTGTTTCAGTCTGTGACTCCCTCTCTCTCTGACCCTCCCCTGCTCACACTGTCTCTCTCTCTCTCCTAGAAATAAATAAAAAAAAATAAAAAATAAAAAAAAAATAAAAGAATGGTGCTATTTGTAGTAAGCACCTCACAGATGTTAGCTGCTACTATCTTACTTATTTGTTTGTTTATTATCACCTTCATGAATTTTCCATCATTTGAGGTGTATGTAATCATCAAGCTCAAAGGCTCAGAAACCCTACTCTGAAAACCCATGAAAAGTGGAGGGACTTAGCCCACAGAGTCAGAGGCATAAAGCCAGCCCCTCACCTCTCAGCTTACTGATGGACAAAAATAAATAGAATTATTAGGTCAATTTGTATTCGTTCTAAGCATGTCTTAGATGAGTCCCCAAATGCCTCTCAGAAGGTTGCTTAGTTGGCAGGGCATAGCACATGCTCAGTAATATTAATGGCTGGTGTCCTGGCTCTGTAAAAACATCTTTTGTTTTACCCAGGAGATCTAAGATATACAATTTCAACATGTAATCACTCGGAAAGAAATAGTAAGATATTTTACTCTTTTGTATCATGGTGTAAAATTAGTGTGCATTTTACATTTACCACCCGTTTCAATTCAGACCAGTTACGTTTCCAGTGATCAATAGCCACATAGGACTAGTGGCCACCATGTTGAGTAGGAGAGAGCTGAAATTTCTTAGTGAATTTAGCTGTGTTACCTGGGCTTAACTTCTTTTTTAAAATTATTTATTTTTTTTAAATGTTTATTTTTGATAGGGAGAGAGACAGAGCATGAGTAGGGGAGGGGAAGAGAGAGAGAGAGGGAGACACAGAATCCGAAGCAGGCTCCAGGCTCCAAACCATTGGCAAGAGCCCAATGCGGGGCTCGAACTCACCAACTGCGAGATCACTTCCGCAAGATCATGACTCCAAGATCATGACCTGAGCTGAAGTTGGACGTTTAACCGACTGAGCCACCCAGGCGCCCCATGGGCTCAACTTCTTAATCCCTCTGAAATTCAACTGTCTAGTAGAGTGCCTGTACACCGTAGGCATTTAGTAAATTATATGAGTATTTACTTATCTCTAAATTAAGAATAATCCTCCCGTGTGTCAAACACTTCTACAAGCTAGTGACACCTCAGTGAACAAAACAAGGATCCCTAACTTCATAGAGCTTATACTCTAATTAGGAGAGATAATAAACAAAAAATGGGACACCTGGGTGGCTCAGTTGGTTAAGTGTCCAACTTCAGCTCAGGTCATGATCTCACGGTCGGAGGGTTTGAGCCCCGCGTCGGGCTCTGTGCTGACAGCTCAGAGCCTGGAGTCTGTCTTCAGATTCTGTATCTCCCTCTCTCTCTGACCCTCCCCTGCTCACGCTGTCTCTCTCTCTCTCTCTCAAAAATAAATAAAACATTAAAAAAAAAAAAGAAAGAAATTGATCGGGAAAGAATACGGGGTATGTATGGGAGGACATCCGGAATTTTAAATACAGTTGCCAGGGAAGCCTTACCAAGTAGCTTTCGTCTGAGTTAAGACTTAGCACACCACGCAGATATCTGGGGGAAAATGTTCCAGGCAGAAGGAACAGCAAATGTTAAGGCTGTGAGAGAGAAGCATGCCCATCGCAGGAGAGGAAGAGTAAGGGGCCAGGGTGTCTGGAGGTGAGTGAAGGTGTGCCAGAGAGGTAATGGGGAAGGCAGGCCAGGGCTTCTGGGGCTATTTTAGGGACTTTGGCCCTTTTCCAAGGGAGACAGGGAGGCACAGGAGGGTTTGGGGCAAAGGAGTATCTGGTTTGGCTCAATCTCCTGGGATTGCTGGGGGCTGCTGGGTTGTGAACAAATTATAGTGGGGTGAGTGTCCCATGGGGTTCCCTAGACCCCCAGCCTAGAAGTGGCTTGGGGAAAGCAGACAGAAATTGCCCAACCAGATCTGTTGAGCCTTATGCCCCAAACGATGGGTGGGTGGTCCCCCTAATCTGTCCTGCAGAAAGCCATGCTGAAAAAATGCTGTCTTCCTCTCTCATACCATCTCTTCTTCCTGTCTCTGGAAGCATGAAGAATGCCCAAGGAAAGAAAAGGGGCTTGGGTTTGCTGTGCTAAAGCTTTTCTCATTATTGACAGCCTGGTCTCCTCTCTAAATACCTCATCCTCCCCATTTTGCACAAGAAGTGCAAAATAAGATTCTTAGAATTTAGGCTTTTTTTTTTTTTTTTAAATCTCTACATTTGGATTTGCAGATATGCCAATATTTGGATTTATAGAGCTGTAATTTAAGCTAGTCTCTCCCCTAGAACCGCCTGGTGAAATGCATCTTTCATGAGGCTTCTGCAGGAGCCCAGCTACAAGCTCAGACTCCTGAGCACAAATCAAACTCTCCGGTTCAACATCAACAGGACGTTGTCAGGGGCCTCCCAAAACAGCAAGGATCTGGAAGGGACAGGCCTCAGTGTTTTCCCACTGGTGAGCCCTCTTCTAGAAAAAGGATTAAAGGCTTCCTCTCCGTTGAGCCACAGGATGAATGCCTGGAGAGCTGATGGTTTGGGGGTGGGGGGTAGCCACCCCAGAATTCTTCTCGGGGCATCTCGTATTCACCCCTACCCCCAGGACAGACGAGCTGTGGCCCAGCCTGCTAGAGAGAGCCTGCTCTGGTTATCTAGGAGAAGGGGGAAGGGAAGCAAATAAAATATAGGAGGAGGCGAGGAAAAGGATGCCACTCGGCGGCCTCTCTGATTCCTTCCTTAATCTGAAGGTCAAGGAATAATTCAGTTAAAGTGCAAAACTCCTTCTGCAGGTTTTCAAGCCCAAGACAGCCAGCCTAGGAGGGCAGGGAGAGCAGCTCCCAGGGGAGAGAGACCCAGCCCTCACCTCCTATGAAGCAGCCCATTAAAAAAAAAAGGAGAAAGAAAAAAGAATGAATACAAAAGCAGGTTACAGTATGTGTTATCTTTTTTATGGGCTGGCTCTGCTCATGCAGTTGCTGCTGTGTATATAACCTCACCGGGAAATGGGGGCCCTCCGTGGGAGTGAGTCTGGAATAAAACACCTGACTCACCTTGGTCCCGTCCATCCCTCCTCCAACCCCGGCAACACCCCATGAAAGCCCTTGACCCCCATGGAGGGCAGCCAACTGTCCCAGTCTGCCTAGGACATGGGACTTTCAGTGCTAATATCAGGACTTTCAGTGCTAATATCCCAGCACACCAGGACACAGTGGTTGCTCTACATCCAGAGGACATACTAGCGCGCCCCCACCACCCCCCCACCATCCAATGTCTGAATGAACATAGATGCTGGTGTTACTAAGGCAGCTTGACGAAGCATGTAAAGTAAACTTGGAATCAGCCAGATTTGGATTTGAATCCAGCTTCTCTCACTTACAGTCAGCAAGATTCACATCCCGGGGCCTTTGAGTGCTTATCTGGGAAATGGAAAAAACAGGATTAGTATGGAAATTTAGGAAGTCCATTCCCACAACAAATGGTTATTCTTTTTCTCCCCATATTAAAATCATCATCTGCCTCTTACACGATGTGCGCATAATGCCTGGCACCTCCACACGTCTTCAGGATTTACAAGGTACTTCCACATAAGCGGTCTCCCTAGAGGATTCACAAGACGAAGAGTAGCCTCAGCCCCATTTCAGAGACTGGGAAAGGAGGCCAAATGGAGAAGAGAGGCTCCAAGGTCATGTACCTGGCAAACAGGACGCCAGCCCAGGTCATCCGTTTCCATTCTGCTACCGCTCACCTCTTACAGTCTCAACAAAGCCGCAGCAGTGGGTAACAGGTGCAGGTAAGTCTGGGAGTTTCCCCAAATAAGGAGGTGTGGAAGAACCTGTTTTCTGGCAAATTCACTCCACTATCTGCTGCCACTGTGAGCCTGGGGCCCAGCCTGGGGAACAGGCAGAGTTCCAATCTGCCTAATCAGATAATTCTGCCTTCATGCTCCTCCTCTGTACATTCTTGGAATGAGCCATTCAAACCACTACACCTGCAGAGTCTGCGCCCATGCCTTGTCAGGTAGACATATCAGTTCTCGATGATTCCCCGCTGCTCTGGACAGGGATACTGCGAGAGTGACCAACTGGCCTTCAGAGCGGCTTGTTTTTATTGAGTGCCTCCTCCAAGAAGGTGTGTGGGATGTGACATTTTGGGTCACTGCCAGGCTGGGGGGATGAAGCTATCATGTGGCTGAGAATCCAAATCCAAAGAACATTTCTTTTTTCTTTTTTTAATTTTTTAATGTTTTATTTATTTTTGAGAGAGAGATAGAGACAGCATGAGCAAGGGAGGGTCAGAGAGAGAGGGAGACATGGGATCCGAAGACAGGCTCCAGGCTCTGAGCTAGCTGTCAGCACAGAGCCCCATGCGGGGCTTGAACCCACCAACTGTGAGATCATGACCTGAGCTGAACCGACTGAGTCACCCAAGCACCCCGCAATGAACATTTCTTCAGTGAGCGGCTGCTCTCTGGGAAGATGGCTTCACAGGGCTTCATCCTTTGCTTGGCAGACTCCATCAGCACGGAGTGCCTTCTCTCACACCACCTGGCCCCTCTACTGGACATGCTTCCCTTCCATACCTTTCCAGTCCATTTTCCAAGGGCAGCCAGAGTAAGGACCTTCAAACTTCAAAGTCTCCCACCTCTCTGACAGTACCTCCCAACCCTGCCCCCTAGCTCATTGGCTCCTTTCCTTTTCCTGAACATTTCCATTCCTTGCCCCCTTGGTTAGGAATATGGAGGGAATGCCAAGGCCAGCTCAAGTTCCCCTTCCTCAGGAGTCCATCTTTGACCATCATAGGTCACCACCCCAACACCCTCTCTGTACCCACGGTTAATCCCATTACCCTATTTGAGTTTCTTCATGGTCCTTATCTCTCTCAGAAATTCTTACTCATTGACTAACTTGCCACCTGTGTCCCCCTATCAGTGTATAAATGCCATCAGAGAAAGGACTTTGTCTACAGGGTTTTATCTCTGGCGCCCAGTAAAACCAGCGAAACTCAAGTATTTGTCAAATCTTCAAACAAAGTGGTCGTGAGCACAAGCCTTGAAGTCAAGGGGACCTGTGAAATCGTCCCACTTGCCAGTTGGGAGAAGTCATCCAGCCTACCTAAACTTAATAAAATAATAGAATCAAGAGCTCACTGGTCATTGTCATTATTAATCTAGAGTTGTGTCACCCCCACGACTCCAACACCCTTGATGGCAGACATTCTGACACTCATTTTTATATCCGCATGCCTTGAAACTTATCCTCAGTACCCTCTACTTCCTCTTCCTTCAGAACATGTCATACTGTTCTGAGAAGTCTACTTATTTCTCTGTCTCCTCCGCTACACTGAGCTCCATGGGGACATGAATATCTGTAAAACCTCGCTTGGTGCCTGTCGAACTTGTAGAATGAACGTGTGGTGTATAAGACAAGTAGGTACCTAGTAGGTCTTCAACAAATATGTTTTGAGTCAAGCTCTCTCTAGAAAAGACATTTTAAATACATGAATTAAAGAATAATACCAGGTGGCATATAACCAGCTGATGAATTATATATATATATATATATATATATATATATAGTATAGAACTTGAATGGCAGAGATGGCCAACACAGAGACTCCTTGGGCCAGTCAAGGACCAGGTAGGTGAGGTAGGTAGGACAGGATGGAACCAATTGGAGACTGCATCTCATCTCCAGAGCAACCATCGCTTAGTTCTAGCTCTTTGTTGCTATCATGGAATGTGGGCCTGATGGGCTCATATGGTTAGCTATTTCAGGTGAAGTGGGAAATGTAAACATGAGATTTCCCAAGTGTCCAGATTGCTGACAGCTACTTTAAATTAATTAAATGATATTGGAGACGAGCAAGGTATGTTCGGGAGCCCTATATAACCTCTGACCAAGATGATCAGGTGGAGTTTGGGCCCCTAAACAGGAATTAACAGAAGAAGCTACGCAGGAGGCAGTGATGGCCAAGAATTCCACCAAAGCATCTATCAGGCATTTATTGAACACTTACTAAGTTCCACGCTTTGGGATATAAAAATGACTCAGAGCAAGTTTTCTCTGAGACTTTATAGTTGGTCGGTTGAAGAAACGTTTTTGAGCCACTATCAGATACCTGAACAGAGCACCTCAAGACAAGGGGACAGACATCTAGACAGCTAGGTGTGGTTTCCTAATTATTAGATCTTTGTCCCCGAGTGCTGGCAGCAAACTGTCATACTACCGTGTCCTTCTACGGATTCTCCCATCCCCAGCCAACCTACCCAGTAGCAGCTAAGGGTCAAGTGGCCTATCACTGCTGGTGCCTGTTAAACTTGTAAAATGAACGTGTGGTGTATAAGACAAGTTTCCCAGCCTAATAAACATGGGATGATTCACCATTGCCTCTATAAGCCTAGCTCCTTCCTGTAAAATGGGTACCTACGTGAGCTCACATGGTGGTGACCCAAAGCTTTCAGGTAACAGCAGCACCTCAGAACACATGCCCCAGGCTGTTCAGAAAATAATTAAATTTAATCTTCACAGCATGCACACAGAAGTCTCTTTTTGGTCTAACTTATACTATGATTTTAGACTTGCTGAAGGACTAACTTCCATCACAGCCCCGCCAATATTGATTGTTCGGGCTCAAAAGGACCTAAGTAGATTGATTTTTTTTTATCTCTCTCAAAGTAAAAAGGATCGCAGTAGTGTTAGTGTATGCCTGTTTCCACTGGTTGGTATGCACACTGAATAAATAATAGTGTTACCTGGAAAAATTTAGTTAAAAGAAACAGTGATGGAAAACAGGGTAGAAGAGGTCTTAAGTTGCATTCTTAATTCCACCACGCATTAGTCTGGTGTTCCAGTGACTGTCTAAGCTTGTCTATTAACAAGGGCCCGCCACCACTCCCATCTACTATTTTTTTAGAAGACAAAGAACACTTTGGTAACCTGCCTCGTAGGTACAAAATAAAACAAAACACCAAACACGCATACACAAAGAAACAAAAAGCAAAATCAGCATGGAGGGAGGAAGTGCCCTCTTGTAGAGCAGGTTAATAGGCAATACTCCTCTCCTGTCACTTCCTTCTGTAAATCAGCAAGTAGGAAAAACATCCAGGAGGGGCCTCTGCTAATTTGTTTTTAATGTACGGACGATTACACAATTCCTGTGTCCCCTGGCCCCCAAGAAAAACAAGGAGGGCTGAATGCTTTCTCTCACTACCGGATGACCTGGTAACACTCGAAACAAAGAGGTTATGAAATCAACGTTGTGCTAACTTCCAGGGACATCTAATAAATGGAGCGCAGGGCTTGAAAGCAAGCCAGCAACTTAGTCTTCGTTCTGTTTTATTCTGTTCCCTTTCTGTGAACTTTTTTTTTCCTACCCTGAAGTTTCACAGCACTCGTTCTAAGAACACCTCTAAACTGAGCTGTGCTAGTAAAACATTCTTTTCTGTGACCTCTGGCAAGAAATACATTCTAGGAAAGAAAAGAAGCAAACGTCTGTTGACTCCCTAATGACTTTTCCTCCCTCTCCAGGTACTGTGGGAAAGAAGAGGCGGAGGGGAAGCACAACAAACTCCAAACTCCAATTTCCTGCCTCATCTCTGCACTGGTAGGTGGCGTATGCCTTCCAAGTTCTTTCTAAAGCCATCGGCTGGGAAAAATACGAACTGAGCAACCAGCGACGAGCCCCCCCCACAGAAAGCCCTCGCTCTAAGAAGGCAAGTAGGCGGGGCGCCTGGGTGGCTTAGTCGGTTAAGCGTCCGACTTTCGCTTAGGTCACGATCTCGCGGTTCGTGGGTTCGAGCCCCGCGTCGGGCTCTGTGCTGACTGCCGGCCTGGAGCCTGTTTCAGTCTGTGACTCCCTCTCTCTCTCTGACCCTCCCCTGCTCACGCTGTCTCTCTCTCTCTCTCTCTCCTAGAAATAAATAAAACAGACTTCCCAGCGGCCGGCGCAGATATCAGCGACCGGTGACACCCAGCCCGCCCGCCGGCTGATTACTTACCAGTCGGATTTAAACCCGCTCCGACGCGGGGGCGTGGCCTGGGCGGAGCCCCGCGGCCCGGGTGGGCGGGGCGGGAGGCGGGGATCCCGGAGGCTCTGCGCCGTGTGGGAAAGACCTGGGCTCCGGGAGCAAGCGTCTGTCTCTTTAAATGCCAGGGGCTGCGCTCCCGCCCGGGGAGCCTGGAGCCGGATCTCCAATCCCGTCCCTCCCGCTCCGGCGCTTGTTGCTCGCCGGGTCCGAGCCGGAGCTGCCGCCGCCGGGCAGCCCGGCTGCTTCCTTCTCCGCCTTCTCTCGCGTCCCACCTCCCCCGAGAGCAGGCTGAGGGGGAACCGCAGCCCCAGCAGGAGGGAGGGGGTGCGGTGTAAACAGGCATTGCCCCCCACCTTCATATCTCGGGGCGCTACGTAGCCGCGGGGGCAAGACATGCGTCGCTCGCCCCTGCCCAGCCTCGCCGCCACTCGCGCCCGGAGAGGAGGGACTGCGGATCCCACACCTGCAAACTCACCCTAGAAGTCGGAAGGTGCGGCTGGGGGGGGGGGAGGGGTAATTCCCCGAGGCCTCCACCTCCCTGCGGTGAGTGCTCGCCGGTAACCCAAAGCCCTAGGGCAGGCGCGCGGGGGAGGGGCGGGCGAGACGGTGGAGCGAGCGCAGCAGGTGAGCCGGGTGGGGTGGCTCACCTGCCCGGCCGAGCTGCGGGATCCTCGCCGGTTTCCCCGAGGACGGAGGCTTGGGGGGCGTCTCCGGGGCTAAGTTAGGGCCCTGGGGTGAAAGGACGTTGAAGAAAAGGGGGCTTGGAGTAAAGTTTCTCTTCTTTACCCCCTCCTGCCGGGGCTCGGCAGGTAGGGCGCCGGCGGAAGCCGTTGGAGCCGCTGATGCAATGGGCTTTTGCCCGGGCGAGGTGAGGTGCTGGGGGCGCGGTAGAGGTAGAGTTGCCCGGCCTCCCGTGACCGCGACCCTGGAGGTGGAGAAACGGGGGAAGAAGCCTCGCCGCACCCGAGCCTCCCCGTAAGATGGCCCCAGCGGCTCTGCCCCCAGCCCTTCTTCCTTCTCGTAAGAAATCGTCCTTGTCACCGAGGGGCTCCTACACATGGCTTCCTTGCTCTCCTCTTCCCACAGGTGCTCTCAGACCCCGTCCGGGGACCCGTGCCAATGACCCTGGTGGTGGTTTCGCTTTCTCCCCTCTCGGCTGTGTGAACGTGTATCCGCAGCGTGATGGGCAACCAGGTGGAGAAACTGACCCACCTAAGTTACAAGGAAGTTCCCACGGCCGACCCGACCGGCGTGGACCGGGACGACGGGCCTCGCATCGGGGTCTCCTACATTTTCTCCAACGACGACGAGGACGTGGAGCCGCAGCCGCCGCCCCAGGGGCCGGAGGGCGGCGGCGGCGACGGCTTGCCCGATGGCGGCGACGGGCCGCCGCCGCCGCCGCCGCCGCAGCCCTACGACCCGCGGCTGCACGAGGTGGAGTGTTCCGTGTTCTACCGCGACGAGTGCATCTACCAGAAGAGCTTCTCGCCGGGCTCCGCGGCGCTGAGCACCTACACGCCCGAGAACTTGCTCAACAAGTGCAGGCCCGGCGACCTGGTGGAGTTCGTGTCGCAGGCGCAGTACCCGCACTGGGCCGTGTACGTGGGCAACTTCCAGGTGGTGCACTTGCACAGGCTGGAGGTGAGCAACAGCTTCCTGACCGACGCGAGCCAGGGCCGGCGCGGCCGCGTGGTGAACGACCTGTACCGCTACAAGCCGCTGAGCCCCGGCGCCGTGGTGCGCAACGCGCTGGCGCACGTGGGCGCCAAGGAGCGCGAGCTGAGCTGGCGCAACTCGGAGAGCTTCGCCGCCTGGTGCCGCTACGGCAAGCGCGAGTTCAAGATCGGCGGCGAGCTGCGCATCGGCAAGCAGCCCTATCGGCTGCAGATCCAGCTCTCGGCGCAGCGCAGCCACACGCTCGAGTTCCAGAGCCTGGAGGACCTGATCATGGAGAAACGGCGCAACGATCAGATCGGGCGCGCGGCGGTGCTGCAGGAGCTCGCCATGCACCTGCACCCGGCCGAGCCGGAGGAGGGCGACAGCGACGCGGCTCGGACTACGCCGCCTCCCGGGCGCCCCCCCGCGCCGGGCCCGGAGGACCAGGCCCGAGAGGCGGCGGTGCACTGAGGGGCGAGCCGAGTGCGGGGCCTTGAGAGGGATCCGTTCGCAGCGGCAGCCACCCCCTCCCTCCCCTCGCTCCCCCCGCTCCCCCCTCCAGCACCCTCGGGGCGCCATCTGGGCTCCTGGGCCCCTTGGAAAAAGGAGAGTTGGCGAATTGCGCAGCCAGCTGTGGCTTGAGCTTTTATCTTGGACGGAGGAGGAAGAGGGAGCAGGTAGGAGCACTTTGGCCAGAGGCACTTCCTGCCTCCCTGCTGGATCTTTCTTTCTGCGGTGAGCCAAATGGTGGACTTGCCCTTGCCCGATACTTAATCCTTGCTGGACCTGGGTCCAAAATCCACCCTTCTTACACACTCGGAGGTGGAGGAAAGTTCCGAGCACTAGTGGCCGCCACGGCCTCCTTTCCGCTTCCTCCCTCCCCCTGAAGGCCTGGAGGGTGCCCAGTACTGCGGCACCCCGACAGCCCGGAGCCAGTTCCAGAGCCACAGATCAGCTACCGCCACGCCCCGGGAGGTGGGGGGAGGCTGGGGATTCCTGCGGTGTAAGGCCAGAGACCAGGCCCAGGTCTGCAAGCAGCAGACCACAACAGGGCAGCCCCCCTGTGAAGTGTAATAAATAGTTGGATAAACTTGGGCTACAAAACAAAGACTTTGCTACCTCCCCCCTCCCCCCGCCCCCACACCTGCCCGCAAGTAATTCATCATCTGGCACTGGTTTCTAGCAGCGTCTCTTGCTCCCTCCTGCTCCAGCCACCGCTTCCCAGGTTCCAAGTAAATCATCGTCAGGGGCCAGCTAGGGGAAGGATTCAATTATGGTTCTCTTTTGCCGCCTTTGTTTTGCTATTGTGGGCACTTGCAGCCGCCTTGTTATCAAAGGAGGGAATAGCCCTTTTGTGTCTCTGATCTAATTAAACCTGCTTGGCTGTGTTGGTCTGCAGGTCACACAGGGCCTCAGCTGGTGCCGCCCCATAAAGTAACCACTACACAAACAGCCAAATGGGGTTGTCCTGGCAGGAATTGGTTAATCTCCCACCCGTCGCCCTAACCTCCTTCCTGAACAGTGAGGGTAACCTTTTTTAAAATGTAAGGCTTTGGGGGGTGGGCCTGCTGCTTTTCCTTTTTCTCTCTCTTTTTTTTTTTGTTTTGTTTGCCTACTCACTGCCCCATCCCCCTCACTTTCAGTTTTATTCTGCCCCTGGTAAAATCTTAGGCTTGAAGTCTGTTCACTGATAAGGTATTTATTTTGCTAGCCACACCTGATGCAGTGTAATTCAAGATGCAACGTCTAGTTCTAATGCAGTAGTATCTTTCTTCCTTGGAGAACACCCCTTCAGAGAGCGCTTTTGCAATTAAGAGGGGTGACATGCTATCACAAAGGCCACCTTGTATAGTCCGCACCGAATCTGGTGACAGCCCTAAGGCACAGGTTGGTGGCGGTGAGTTCTGTCAGCCACAGGCTGGGCCTACGCTGTTTGGATCTGCTAGTGATCCTGTTTGCTTTACCGCGGGACTTTTAGAAAATTTTTACAACCCATCTCTTGTATTCCTGTGAACTCTGATGGTGCATGCCCTTGACTTCACAGTACTTCTCTGCTGCAGATTGGCATTGCTAATGCTATCTCAAAAGTTGAGTGAAGTTTTTCTTTCTCTCAGTAGTCCCTATAGAGGACAAGTCCTTTTGTGAGTGAATTCTTAGCTGTGGGATTAGAATTCTGTGTGAACATCCTGTAGCGAACCTTGGGGCCTTCGCCCCAGGGACTTTACAAGACCGGAAAGATGTCCTGGTATACTTTTTTCAAACTTGGAAGTTGAGGCCATAATTTTTAAAAGCCTAGACCATCGTAGCACCTCAGTATGAAATACTTTAATTTCAGGGCTTTAGCTGTGTTCCCTATTCTCACAAGGACCACCAAACAGGGCCTGTCACTTTGCTAAAAGATGAACCACACTCAGCCCTAGTCTGGAACTTTGGAGAGCTCCCAGTCCCCATCCGAAATGTAGATCTCGTTTTCCACGTTGAGTAATGTCACAGCTTCATGTCTATATTGTCTTGTTCGTGGAGAAGCTGAGCAAGGTAAGAGACCTTTAGGAGAGCCTAACGTACCTAACAGATTTGGATTTTCCTTTATGCTTAACACAGTAGTCTAAAGACAAGTGTGCGAGTAAGCAGAAGGAGAGGAACAAAAGGGCACTGCCTAGCAGGTTGGGGCTGGTTAGCCAGCCAGCTCTTCCCCTCCCCCATCTCTGTGTCCCTCCCTGGCCCTCAGTTGGAAAGTGAATGTCATTGGTTACACGGAGGTACAGCAGTGACTGACCGTTGTTACAGAGGAACTGCATTTTTGTTGTTTTAAGTTTTTATTTATTCATTTTGAGAGAGGGAGCTCACAAGCCAGCAGGAGCATGAGCAGGGAGGGGGAGAGAGGAGAAGAGAGGGAGAGAGAATCCCAGGTGGCTCTGTGCGCTCACAGCGCAGACACAGGGCTTGAACCCTCAAAGCTGTGAGATTGTGACCTGAGCCGAAACCAAGAGCCACCCAGGCGCCCCAGAGGAACTGCTTTTCGTGAGAAGTCCCAACTTGAAGGAAGAACTTGTGAAATCCACACCCGAGCTATCATTCTGCCTCTAGAGAAGAGGTTTTTGTGAAAATGAGCTAGACAAGAAAATCCATCTACCCCAGGTACCGCTTCCCCGTGTAACGCACATGGCTTTACTGGCTACCAGGGAAGTGAAGTGTGTAAGGCAAAGAATGATTTGCTTGGAAGTTTTGTTAGGGTTCTAACACTTGAAAGCAACGACCAACCAATGAAGGCTCCAAGAAAGGGGGAATCCACCAGCTCTGCTCTTTCCTCAAGGTGGCAGTGTTGTGGATAAGTGAGTTTTTCATGTCCAGGCTATGGTTACATCTGGCACTTTAAAAAAAAAAAAAAAAAAAAGATCTATTTAATAATTTCTGTTTCTCCCTCGTAATATGACTTTAGAACTATTTTGTTCTGTGAAGTATGTATGTTCTCTGAAAGAAATATTGATTCTGACCTTCTCGAGAAGCTGTGGCAGCGATAAGCAGGGCCGCGGACTAGAGTGAATACTGAAAAGTAATGAAACAAATTCTATTTTCTTATTTGAGCAAATATTTTATTGAGACTGCTTATGTATGTCAGAGGAGCCCACAACTTCAGCTACACAACTTTTTTTGTATTGAAAGAACTCTTACTTTTTGTAGCTTTTCTTCCACATGTGATTTAAAATGACTTTATAGCACTAAAATGCCTAGCAGAAGACTTTCCACCAGACCTTTAAGAAAATGTTTAGTTTTTATGAAAAAATAACAACTTCTGTGGTTAACACTTCCGATGTCTTTGGTGCTTCTGGCCCTAAGAGCACCACTAGACAACACGACAACCACATGGAAACATATTTTTGGAAGCAAAACTTTAATTTTATATGACATATGCTATGGAGAGTGAAGAAAATTTAATGCTACTTGTTTTCTATTTTTTTTTCTTAAAATGGAATTCACTGTGTCGAAGACTCTTGATATTACGTGATTGTCTAACCTTTTTTTTTTTTTTATAAATTAGAATAAAATCTATTGTGATCATGGCCCTTGAATGGTTTTGTTTGGAAAGTTACATTTTATTTTATTTTTTTTCAAATCGTGGTGACTATGAACTTGACCAGTTTATTCAAGTTTTCACTGTGTTTTCTTCTTAGCTATAATTCCTGTGACCCACGGGGGTTCCATTGACTAACACGGTAAATTCTATGTGTATTTTATTTCCTGGTGAATTGTGTAAACTGTTTTTTTGTTGAAGATTGTATGTTAAATCAATGTTATGTTCTCATACCACTTCTTGAGAAGGAGGTTCTGATTTGAAATTGTATCATTTCCTTCAAAATGAAGGGCAGTGTTTAGTTAAATAAAAGATTGATGACATCTTTTGAACTACTTCCTCTTCACTATCTTATTAAAACAAAATCTGTCAAATCCTTTTGAAAAGCGCTATAAGGGTTTCCAATAAACCATCCATTAGCGTTAACTGAATTTCTATTTTTTTCCACTTGTATACCTTTTCCTGCCATATGTGGTCCAAAATCAAGCTGCAATTTTTCTGAGATTATTAGTGTGTTTCATCACTACGTTGCTCAGTAAACATTTTGATGAATTCATTTAGTGACAACCCTCCCTATGTTTGCTGTGTGAGAATTAATCACCCATTGCTTCTAGGTTATCAGTGTTCATGAAAAATATCTCATAAACATAAATTTTCCGTGCACATTGATTTTTCAGAACCAATATGAACATTGCTGATCACCACGCGCCTCTATTGGAGTCTATGCTGGGGCGTTTTGGTTATTGAGGTCCATTGCATCTTTGGTTTCGGAGTCTCAGACAAAGGGCACGTGCTCATTGGGTAACTGAACTACAGAAAATGGGAAAATGTGACCATATGGCACTGTTGGCATAATAAGGATGCAGGTGCCAGCACTTGGTAGATAGAGGAACAGATGTGGCATCTGGGACTGGTGTGTGGGAGGTCGGCAGCACCTGACTCAGATGCTGCCACAGACCTGAGAGATTTAAAAGCCTGGGCTTTGTCAAAAGGCTCCTATGAGAAATGCGAATAGGAAAAAAAGGTGAATGCTGAGGGGAATGGGAAGCTTAGCAGCAGGGAGCCATTTATCCCTAGAGTGGGAGTCCTTAATTTATCATGGTTCTCACTGCACAAGGAAGTAAAAGGAGGGAGGAGACCCTAATACAGAATGTGCATTTATACTTAGTCGTTCTTGGTGTAGGCTGCTGTTCCCATTTCCTCTATGTGGACAGAGCTTGCTTAATGTAGGGAAATGACATGTTTGGAAGCATTTAAAAGGACCTCCACAATGAACAGGCCCAGAATATGTGCAGAAGGGCTTTTATTTCCTTTTACTGAATTAACTGGGAAAACTGCTTATTGAACAAATGTAGCAGTTTTATCTGCAAAGTAGATGCAAGAATGATTAGTGTATATTTGCAATCACAAGATGCTACTAGCTATTTATGAAGGGCTAGAGGATGTTGAGCTGTAGTCTAGGTACTAGAACATCGCTTACAAACAAAACACCTTGAGAGATAGTCCCTGCCCTGGAGTTTGTTTCTCAGGGCAAATCAATTTCACACCTATGTACAGGACACGGTCTAATAAAAGATGGCCCTATAAAGTGCTGATGGCTGATAGGTCTTCAAATGAAGCAGATGGACATAGGTTTAATGGAAGTACCCCCTTTGGAGAATTCAGACCAAAATTATACCTATGATGGCAAAAAGGAGGTAACTAATGAAATATTCATGAAGTACTTAACTGGGACGCTCCTAAATTCCCAGTGCCTAACCTACAAAGATAAACCAGACCCATAGTTCCTGTTCTCAATGTAACTTACATTCTGACAGGTAAGGCAGGTAACTACTTGCCAAAAAGGAATTCACAGTAAGGAATTTAATTTCAGCAGACGGGAATGTACAGGGTATACGAAAGAGGATCTCTCCATCAATGAGTCCGTGGAGGCTTACACGAGGAAGCGTTTATGCTGAATTCTGGAAGAGGTGGAGGAGAAAGCCAGGGGGCTTCAGAGTGTACACAGGTTACATTAATTCAGGGGGGGAGTCAGGGGAGTGAAATGAAAGAATACTCGGTGCTCTCAGAATGGCTTTGCTTCATACTCCAGTAGGACCAAGCAGAGAGAGTGAGTTTGAGTGAGTGAATGAATTTGAGGATTGAGATTGCTAGAGTAGAGAGCCTTCCTATCATCCAAAGGTAGTGGAATGGCTCTGGTTTGAATAGGGTCAGGCAGCTAGTGGTTTTAGGATGGAATGAAAAGTGGGAACAACTGAGTGACACTGTCTTTCCCTCTCCCAGAATTCAGTTGCCAGCAGGTGATGAAGTAGAGTATGAATTTGGGTCTTTGCCTGATGCTATAGTAAGTCTTTGATGCCTTGTTTGTCAGGTGTGGCCATAAATGACTCAAAAGATGAGCTCTGCTGGGGCACCTGGGTGGCTCAGTTGGTTAAGCATCTGACTTCGACTCGGGTCATGATCTCACAGTTCGTGGGTTCAAGCCCTGCATTGGGCTCTGTGCTGACAGCCAGCTCAGAGCCTGGAGGCTCTTCAGATTCTGTGTCTCCCTCTCTCTCTGACCCTCCCTTGCTCATGCTCTCTGTCTCTCTCTCAGAAATAAATTTTTTAAAAAACATTAAAAATTAAAAAAAAAAAAAAGATGAGCTCTGCTACTTTTGGGAGGAAACGTGTACAATATAATTAACTCCCAAGATTTGGTTATCTTTATAGGTGCCTTTTTTTTTTAAAACCTCATAACTGAGGATTCTCAGTGGTTGGGCTGAACTGGAGGTACCTAGACACAAAGAACTGAATAGTGTCAAACTACCTGGTTTTTCTACTCTGGGCTCTGCTTATTGTTAATCTTGGGGGCACCTGGGTGGCTCAGTCGGTTAAGCGTCTGACTTCGGCTCAGGTCATGATCTCGCAGTTTGTGAGTCCGAGCCCCGTGTCGGGCTCTGTGCTGACAGCTCAGAGCCTGGAGCTTGCTTCAGATTCTGTGTCTACCTGTCTCTCTGACCCTCCCCTGCTCACACACTATCTCTCTCACTCTCTCTTAAAAATAAACGTTTAAATGTTTTTTTTTATAAAAGCTGATAATCTTAAACTTCTTGGGAGAAGTTAAATACTTGGTTGGAAGCCTTAATTTATCTTCTATACAGTGTGGCGTATGGCAGTAGTCGATTGAACTCTCTGAATTTCAGTTACTCTTATAAAATAAGTATATAATGTGCATAATAATATAATTGGACTACAATAATAGTATCTACTTTAAATGGCTGTTGTGAGCACAAAATGAAACATGCACATAAAGCCCAGATCAATACCTACTATGATCGACTAGAGAAAATCTAGGATATTGTTATGTGTTGAAAAGCCTTATTCAAAATGAAGTTACTGTCTGGGAGAGAGATCTTCCCTTTAGTTCTGGAGAATTTCTCAGCTAGATACAAGAAATTGGTAAGATAAAGAGATAACCAATTGATACTTTAGTTGTTTTGCTACTGCTATGGCATTTGAAATGTTTCTTGAGCTTTGATTTTTAGTAGATGAACTGTTTTGTTTATACATTTTAATACGTTCACTCATTAAATTCAACAAATATTTCCAAAGAATTTTAAGGTATTAGGTGTTGGAGAGCTGAGGGGGAATTGGAAGTGACAGTGTGATGATAATATTAACACTGATGAAGTCACCTTGCCCACAGTGTCCAGGTTGAATCATCACAACAGCCTCCTTTCTGGACAGATGCTCGTATCTTCATTTTACAGTGGAGGAAACAGGTTTAGAGAAGTGAAGCGATTTGTTCATGGTCACCAAGCTCGTAAGTGGCAGCTTCCAGCCTGGATCAGGTGTGCTGGTCTCCAAAGCCCCAGGCTAGGACTCCTCCACCAGAAGGCCATTCAGCCACTCCCCCCTTTAAGCTGCCGCTCCCTTCTCCTTACCCAAGGAGAATACATAGAACCTGATTCTGCCCCAGCATTTGGCACGTGGCATTATCTGAGTAGCAGGTAGATTTTAACTCCTGTTGCAGCAACTCTGAAGGCAGTGTGACCCTGGAGGCCAGAAGAGCCAGGAAGAGGAGAAGCAGTTGTCACGAGAGAGATCTTGCATCCTCATAATCAGTAACAGTCAGCAGCCCTGGGTGAATGCTGACCATCCCCTGATTACCTCCACCCGCCCGGTGGCAGAGCATTGTGACAGTCCTACTCAAACTGCCCCTCACTGTATTTCCATGACTTCCTTTCCCCCTTCAGGCCAAGGTCAGGTCACACAGGCCTACTTCATATCATGGCTCCAGCCGCTGACCTGCTGTGTGGTCAGTGGGCAAGTGAATAACTTCTTTTAGCCACTTTGACTGACCTAAATGTGCATGTGTGTGTATATGTGTGTATGTGTGTGTGTGTGTGTATCTGAAACTAAACTTTACCACACAATTCCTAACTGCACTGTGATACCATGGAGCAAGACGATGAAGAATCATGGCCCCCCCAAAGCTGTCTGCACCCTAATGTTTTCTGACGAGTCACAATCCTGAAATTGAAGATTCACTCATAAGGGGAGGAAATATCCAGAGCCTCATAGTTTCACCTCTTTACAGATCACTTTGGACAAACATTTCATTTTAATGCCTGTCACGTCCTTAGTCTTCTGTTCCAAAATGCACGTGTTCACCACATGTTTGGAGCTTCCACAGCCCTGGGCTAGGCATGATAGGGAGATGTGAATTGTGTTCTGAGGCATATAATGCTTCAATAATCGTGTTGGAAGAATCAGATTAAAGAGTCAGAAGACACTTGAAAGTAATAAGGATAAAATGAGACATTCAACTGTGAGGTATAGTTAGGGACCAGAGGACAGTGGAGCCACCTCATACTCCCCCTAGCAAGGACAACACTTACTTAACGTGTTGATAATGTTATGCATTGCTAAAGCGCCTTTCACAGGTTATTGAATTAAATCTCTGCACCCTCTCTTTAAGATACAATTACCATTCTCCTTGAATAAGTGTAGAAATTGAACTTTTGAGAAAAGGTCATAAAATGTTCACTGAGCACATACTGTACTCCAGACCCCATGGTTGGAACCTTATAAATGGTATTTCATTTAATCTCCAGCGTAACCTAGGAAGTTGCCATCTTATTTTAATATGAAGTCGTGATTTGCCCAAGATGGCTGACCTGTGAGATGGACCAAACAAGATTCAGCCCACAGTTATCGGACTCCCACGGCAATGCTCTTCCTGCTAAGTGGCCGGTGCTTGCATCAGTTACACTCACTCTCATTTGCGAGCATGTCCAGATCACACAATCACAAAAGTTTGTCTTCAGGTTTCCTCGGTGCTGCTGAA